ACCCTGTGGTGACATCCTGCAGATGTTCGTCTTCTTGCCCAGACCTGCCCCCGCCTCACCCCCGCCCCGGCCAGGCTGGTCTGCCCAGGCCATCGGAGCAGAGCCGAGCTCGGTCCCCAGGCCCCTCGCCTGCCACCTCCTGTGTTTCTGTGGAGCGTGGGTCCCCGGGCCCAGGCTCAGACGGTGTCCTGGTCAAAGAAACACGTGCCAGCAGCCGAAATCAGTCGGGTTCCTCTCATTGCAAACAGAGGGGGACGCGCAGTCCATAGCAGAACATGGAGAATCTCCCTGTCAGTGTCCCAGTTCCCTCGCCTCTGCAGATGCTCCCACCTTCTTTCTTCCTGAGAACATGCCCCTGGAAAGCTCCCCCAGCCCTGGGGACGTGCCCCTGTGTCCTCTCTGCATCCTGAGAACCAGGAGAGCATCCCGGAAGGGGACCCTTGGGGAGCACAGGGGAGTGAAGACCCCAACACTCCTGTGTTCACGCCGTGGCGCTGCCTCCACAGAACATATTCCACGGCGCCATGGCCCTGGACCAGCTCTACTTCGCCCGCCCCACGCCCCTGCACGCCGGCCACCGCTGCCCGCTCCCGGGCCTCTACCTCTGCGGAAGTGGGGCCCACCCTGGTGAGTGCCCCTCCGTCCCACCACCCCGTGTGGGTGGCAAGGGCTGGCGGGACGTGAGAGGCATGTGGACGGGGACCGGATAAACAGGGAGGGAGGCAGGGAGGGGCCCGGGACCCCCTTAGGAACAACCATTCCCACATTCAGGATTCTCAGAGCTGGGGGACCTGGTGCCCTCTGTCGGGCAGGCCACAGCCACAGGCCTGGTAGCTCACACCCTCCTCAGGAGGTTTGGGGGTATGTCCCTGAGGCATCTCCCCACATTCCATTTGGACTGTGAGGCACCCATGTCCCTAAATCCCCTCCTTTATTCAGACCAGTCAGGATCGGTAAGTTAATTTCCCCATGTAAACACTCTCCCCTCCCCTAGCCCCAGCGTGACTGACCTCCCCCAGGCCTCCTCCGTTCATGCTTACACTTACCTGGGCCCCGCGGGCTCGGGCTCCCAGGAGGGCCCTGTCCTTCCCCTCCTCCCCTCCAGCCCTCACTCCTGTGCCAGTTTCACGTGCTGAGGGTCTCCCATCAGGCACATGGGCGCTCAGGCCCAAAGGGGCACTTGCTTGGATGATGGGCCCGGCCCCTCCCCAGAGCTCTGAGGCAGGAAACCTGCAGAGGAGCCCAGAGCCTGTCTTCCTCAGGGGTCAGGGGTCAGGGTGGTTCTGAGGCCCACACCAGAGCACTCCAGCATCCTCACTCTGCTTGGCCGCTGCCCTGGCCCTGCCCACTCCCTGGTGTGGTGGGGGGAGGGGCGTGGAGTGCAGCTTTGGCTCATGGGAGATTCCCTTCCAGGAGGAGGGGTCATGGGAGCCGCTGGTCGCAATGCAGCCCACGTGGTCTTGGAGGACCTCAAGAGTCTGTGACCCTGACCCGGGAAGAACTGCCCTTGAGCTTGGAGGTCCCCACGGGGCCATCTGTCAGGCTATGGCTGAGGCAGACCAGTACTCAAGGCTCAGCGACTATTTTAGAAAAACACCTGCAAGTTACATTTGGCCCTGGCCAGCCTAGTGCCCAGGGCTCATGATGAACGGCTTTTGTTTTATTAAAAACAGTTATTTGTACAGTCTGCATTTTTCTATATATTAGAATAGGAAAAACGTAACTGTGTAATTGCATGTCTACATGATAGTAGGTGGGATTTACTTGTCTGGAATACTCAGTATTCTCACAACATCAGCGCCTCTCAGCCCATTTGGCCAGCAAGCACCCCCATCTCACTGCTGGGCCCCCACCACCCATGGGTTGGGGGGCCGCCCAGTGAGGCCCGATCTGCTGCTGACACTTCCAGGCAAACTGTAGGAAAGGTCCCAGCTCCCCTGGGAGCCACCACGTCATCCACAGGGGCCCCAGGCCTGCACGGTGCCCGGCGTCTCAAACCCTTACCCCCGCCGGCCAGGCCAGCAGCAGTGAGGGTGAGTGCAAGGCAGGCGCAGCTGAGGGCACGTTCCTGACTGAGAGCGTCCCGCCTCTTCCTTCCCACGAGCAGGACACTGTGAACTCTGCCCACGTCAACTCGTGTTATTCTCGAGAGGGTTGTCACTCCTGGTCAGAGAGATGCGTACACGTGGCCCCGTGGTGATCCAGCGCCCCGGCCGCAGGTCCCGGGGCCTCTCCTCCCTCCTTCCCCCGCAAATGTATGCGGGTTAGGATAGACCCACTCATTCCTCAACCTCAATAACGCAGCTTTCTCGCCTGTAAAGGAGTCGTGAAGATCAAATAAGACACCAGGGCGTGTTTTCGTCCAGTCTCTGGTGCAGGGGGTGGTCCTGCGGCTGATACTGTTGTTGAGATGTCACCGCCACGTTTGTGTCCTGCGGGAGGAGGGAAAGAAGCATGTGAGGGAGGCAGGTGCGGCTAATATCTGTAGTGAGCTGTGGTTTCACAGCTCACCCCCTTCCAGCTCCCACATGAGGAGAACGGAATTGAATAACAAGTAAGAACTTGCAAAATCTTCCGAGGCCTGGGGCATAGCACATCCGGCTTGGTTGTTCAAAAGATTAACAACTGGAGGGGGATGGTAAGTAAAAGTCACAGATACTTAATTTAGAAAATTTTAAAAATATAATAACAAGAGGACATAAAACCCAAACATAACCTTACCTGCAGAAGTCACCGTGGTTACCATTTTACAGTATTTCTAGCTAGGCTTCTACATCATCTGGATCCCATGCTACATTCTGTATGTGTTTTATATCTTTCATTTTACTTCATGTCATGAGCATTTATCAGTATTATAAATACATTAGAAAACATTGTTTTTAATAGTTGCCCAATAATCTCTTGTAAGGATGCAGCCTACTTCATTGCAGGACACTGAGTTCAGCCTTGACCTTGATGGCTAATTAGCACCAGCCACAGGCCAGAAAGCCACTCTTCTGCTACACTGACCCTGAAATGACTCACCACGGTGTCTGCTAGGATGCAGCTGCCGCCAGGCAAACAATCCCGCTGGAGGAGGAGGAACTCGGGGAGGCCAGGGAGGGGCCGGAGAGCAGTTTCAGCACAGCCAGGAAGCCTTTCCTGCTGTGTGGTGGCTTCCTGTCTGTGTCCGCGGCTCTGGAAGATACATTAGGTTCAGATGAGATCCACGACCAGGCCTCTGTCCTGCGGGGTGCCTCGGCTCCCGTAGCCCCCAGCACATGCCACCCCACTGAGCTTCCCCGAAGAGATGACTGCACATTGGCCACGGACCAGCAACCAGTCCCTTGCTGACTTCAGAACGTAAAGCTCTTACAAGGATAAATAAGTCAGCACCACATCGGAACCTGATTTATAGCTGTTCGCGTCCTCCGAGCAGCGGGGCTCACTTCCTCTGAGGCACAGTCGTGTAAAAACCTGGTGAAGTTGTTAGGTCGTGATGGCCCCTGGGCAGTGGTGTCCAGCGCGGCCTGCGGGGGGATGTGAGGTTTACAGCCCTGGGAGGAACTCGGGCCTCCTCGTTGGAGGGATGACAAATGCGGCCGCCGGGCCCCCTGCGGATCTCGTAAGTGTGCATGCATTTTCCTGACGCGTGTTCTGTTTGCAAAGCACTTGGCGGCATCGCGTTCTTCTGTGAGAGATTGACGTGAGTCCCGTGGAGAAGGAAGGACAGGACTTGCCTGAGCCGGGCTGGCACCCTGTGGGGAAAGGGAAACCCTGTGAAATAAGGAGAAACACAAATGGACAGCAAACCTAAAATCATATTTCACAACAAAGGAATGAGTT